AAGGGGGAGCGGCTGCTTCTGTGGCTGAGCTGGCTGGAGGCCGAGGTCTGCGGTGGGGCTGTGCAGAGGGGAAGCAGCCTTCGCCGCGCAGAAGGGGTTGCTGCCACGGGGGCAGCAGTTGACTCGGGAGACGCGTGCGCACCTCCGGGGCCCTGCATCTTCCCCGGATCCCTTCTCCGCTCTGACCTGTTCTCTCTTTCCAGCTGTGCCGGCCTGGGAAGCCCGCAGGGTCCGAGCTGCCTGGAGACCTTCCCGCACTGGAGCGACTTCGGCATGGACGACACCCACTCGGACGGTCCGGATGAGCCAGCTGAGCCCTTGGGCGGGCGGCGTGAGGTGCAGTAAACTGCTCTAGCGACCTCGCCTGCCTTCCCCGGGACCTGCAGCCCTCGCTGGAAGAGGGACCGCCGCTGAGCCGGAGGGACGTCCAGGCTGGCGGGACTGGGGCTGCCCTGGGAACATGGCCTTGTCCTGGGCTCTGCGGTGTCCGGGGCTCACGTGTTCTCTCCCTGCTGACTCTTGACTGTCCTTGATGTCCCAGGCAGTGTGTTCGTATCGCTCTTCTCTTTGGAGGAGAGATCTAGTGGTTAGTGAAACCTGTGTTTGTTGTTCCCATGGCCTTTGCTCTCTGACTGGAGCAGTAGCAGTTAGGTGGCAGTGCCAGCGAGGCTCTGTGTTCTTGGCACGTCCCTGACCCGGCGCAGGGTGGGATACGCTGCCTCACGTCCGGCACGACGGAGGAAGGCTTTCCTTGGTGGAGCTGGAGGCTGGGAGCAGGGGCTGGCCGCTGCCCAGCAGGGTCTCTTCGGTTTAGCGTTCCCCTCTGTGCTGCAAGCAGGGGAGGCTGCATTTCCCTGGTAGTGGCTGCGCTGTGCGGCTCCTGGGGAGGGTGGTCTCAGCTGCGTGGAGCCGGAGCCCACACCTGGGGCCTCCTGGCAGAGCTCGCCCCGCAGGTTGCCTGCAGCTGGGACGAACAGAGATGAGCTTCCCCCTGGGAGCGTGGGGCTGGGGAACGAGTCGGTGGGGAGGTAGAGGGGGGCAGTTTGTCTCCCCTGCCCTTTTGAAGGGCTGCCCCTTCCAGATGGGCTCCTTCCTTGCACACGGATTGCCATGCACAGGGCGGAACGGGGGGGCGCCTCACAGCCAGGATCTAGTTTGCTTGGAAAAAAGGAGCATGTAGCTGCCTCGGAGTCCGGCAGCGCTTGGGCTCCGGCTACTCCTGACGCTGCTCCCCGTGCTCTCCTGCACCTTTTCCTCCCACCCTCAGCACTGGTGAAGGCAGAGCCGAGGTGCTCTGACTTGAAATAAAAATGAAATAGAAGAGACTTACTGGTTTCTGGCAACGTGTGTCCTTGCTGCGGGGGCGGAGGGAGCCAAGCTGAGGCCGAGCTAATTGCAGATAGATGGCTTTAGGGAAAAGAGGGGGTTATTGCACCTCTCACCGTGGGGCTGGAGCTGCTGAAACCGTCAGGGCCGACCCTGCCCTGGGCAGCAGAGAGGTCCCTGGGGCCAGCGTGGGACGCTGGGGACAGCCCCGGGGTGGTGGCAAGGGACAGGCAGGGCTGAGGGGTCCCACCTTGGCCCCGAAGCGCATTT